ATGGCCCAGCACACAGGCTGCCCCCTCAGCACACAGTGCTCTTCCTGACCTTAGGATTCTGCTAAAGGTTGCCTCTCTCGTGTTTGCCAGCTACTCTATCTCATTGCAAATACCCCTCCCTGCTCTTCCTAGGCTGCTTGCTCGCTCTTCTTCCATGTTTTGACTGACTTTGTGCCTTCCCTGTGCTGAATAGTGGTTCCTTGAGGGCAGCCAATTTGTCTATTTTGCTCAGACTCATCTAAAGCAGCCAGCAATAAGTGCTCAATTAAACATTTGTTTAATCCGACAGAAAGTTGTTAACCCGGCTCAGAAGACACACAGTACTTTTTGCCTATTCAACAGCACTTTCCTAGCAGAAAACCAGCCTCTTCCTAGACCACAGCGGCTCCGTGCGAACTCTGTCCATCGTGATGCACACTCTGTTTCACATGGGAGCACCCTGTTCTTGCCAGAGATGCTTCTCAACCCCTGACCCACCGGCTCAGGCTCTACACACTGCTATATGGCACTGGGCTCCTCAGCAGGAAAACCCTCCCCTCTCTCTGGGTGATCAACCCGCCAGCTAGCGCTGCAGTGGCTCTGCATAGAGATGAAGTAGAACATGTCCTTGTCCCTGAATGCATGTGACCCGATAAGCACTTCCCAGGAACTGTGCACAACTGGGACCGGCTGACAGATTCCTCAGTGAGAGCCCCACCCTGTTGAATCTTCTGCATAACTTTCTGGTGAAAAAAAAGGTCTCCAGTTTTTTTTTTAAAGCAAAAAAACATCCAACCCACACTGTGCAACAAGTAACCATAAAGCAGTCTGGTGTGGAATTACATCCTCTAGTGGACAGAGAGAGAAGTTCATACTCCGGACCTGGACTCATTCTGCAGTTCCACTTTTGTACTTTCTGGCACACACCTTGTGTGCCCCACAGTGATCTTTAACATTTAAAAACACCCCCAGATTTCATGATCCATTCTTATTGCTGAAGGTATTGTTCCCTTTTAAAGATGGGGCTTCCACCCACTTCAACCCCCTTACATAATCCAGAGGAACATCCCAACCAGGATGGGTTCTGGCCCTTAGTCCAGATGTGAGTTCAGCACCACATCTCTCAGGCGATTTGGGCAAACAGCACATTTGTCCTCTAGTCAGGGAGGCAGGGACCATGGGGACGTGCTCACTGTGCCTAAGGTCACTGCTGAGGGGAAAACCCAGCAGCTGCCCAGCACAGAAACCAGCCTTGCTAGCTCATGGGAACCTTCCCGCTGTCCGTGGGATAGCAGTGCCTGTGGAGACGCTGCCAAACTGGAGCCCCCAGAGAATCTCGTGGCCAGAAATACTGAAGCCAAGTGTGTCTTCTTGTATGTGCAGCCAGTCGCCTTCCCCACTTCATGGGACCTGCTCACCACACCTTCTGGAGCACCCATCCTGGGAAGTCATCTACATGGTCACTGTCCCCGCTTTACCACATCAAGGAGCAAACGGGGAAGTGATTTGCCCAGAGTCTCACAGCAGGTGTGTCCTAGGGAGTAGATCTGAAACCCATGTGGAAATTGTGGGTGCTTATGGTTTATACAATTTAAAACAGCCTGCAGCAGGCCAGCACCCAAAAGCACGTGGTCAGGACCTAAAGCGATCTTGGCCCTGCGGGGCCCACTGTAATCCCTGTGCTGAGCCTTCTCTTCGCCATCTGAACGCAAGTGGTGCTCTGCTCTGAAGTTTCCTGAGGGCCAGGCCTCCCTTCTATAAAGGCCCCTCAGCTGCAGGCCAAATGGTAACCTACCAGTGTCCCTGCACAGGCAGAAGAAATGCCACACAGCCAAGAGGCTCATAGACACACCTAGAGAGGAATGCAAGCAACAACTGGCAGATGCCACACCCCCATACATCAAGGCCCCAAACCCAAGGCAGCCTTTCTGCCCCACCCTCACAGATGGCATGAAGTGATCGTGTAGTTTACACAACAGCCAAGCCCCAGGCTGGCGGCGGCACATCTGCTTTGTTCATGTCAACGACCATGCAGGGCGAGGGATATAGCTCAGTGGCACATGGGCCAGCCTGGCAAGTACAAAGTATCAGTTTGGTTCCCAATAACACCACCAACAAAAAGACCAGACCTTCTCATGTCAACATTGTTCCCTCCAATGCATGCGAAATCGAACGTGCAAGTCGTTCTGCTCTGAGGATCCTGGGCCTTGGGCGGAGAGGCACTAGGTTACAGGACAGCGCAGAGAAAGCACGAAGATGACTGACACCAGTCATAGCCCTCAGGTCCCCAAGGGAGGGACCTAAAGCGATTGGCTGGTGACACTGGCCAGCAGGCTGAAGCAAGA